TTGCAAACAGCAGGCTTTCCTAACCATTCACACAATAGGAATAAGAAGTCTGAGAGCCTTTCACTCAGCTCCATAGAGCCAGGCCTCAACAGAACAGCCTGCTGTCCCCATTCCTGGACCTTACTGCCATTCTAAGAAGACATTTGCATTAAAATTCTCTCTCCTGTGGATGAAACCAGGCACACATACATAACATCACATGGACAGCACCTCATGTACTCCACCCAGGGAATGTCGCCATCTTCCCGAGGGGCTCTTGCCACCATCACAGCAACAAGCCTCCTTCTGCCATTTTCTTCTAAACCCCTTGCTACAGAGCCTTGAGATTCCCAAGCCCAGAGCTGCTTCCTAATGACTTCTGCCATATACTTTTGAGAACCAGAGGCTGCTGAGGGTGGAGGAGGGGGGTCTTAGAAGCAGAGTATAAGGATTGTGGGACATGATCAGGATACCCAATGAGCCTTGGGTCCCATCCAGTTCGCCACATCTGCTGTTTTCTCAGATGAGCAGCAAGCACTGACCCTTCCACAAGAGGCTGTGGTAAGAGACCACAGAAGTCAAAGCTAGTGACCCAATTATTCTGGTATCTACTTCCTGGCTGGTTGTCTAGTACACAATAGGACCTCCTTGAGGGCCTCCGAAGCGATGTGCCAGAAAGCTAACTTGATAAAAGTAGGGCCTTGATAAGTGGATACTTTTCACTACCCAATTACAAAATAGCATAACCATTCAATTCGCCTCCAGAATTAGCTACTATTCTTGTCTAGTTTAAAGTAAGTACAAAGAAAGGCATTTGGAGTGGTCACAATGGATTGCCACATAGCACCTGCGAATGATGCTACAGGAGTTCCCGAGCCCCAAACACAACAAAGTTGGAGATCAAAATAGGGAGAAGAGTGGCAAAGCCCGAAGGGTACTCCAGACACACCCTAAGCTGGCCTCTTGTTTTCCAGGACACGGGGCAGGCTGCTACTGCTGCTCTCAAGGGGTAGGCTCACCCTCTCTAGCTCCTCCCTGCAAACATAACAGCAGTGAGCCCATTCTTGCTGAGTGTTCTGTTTCTAAATCCTCCCCAGACTGACAGTGATATATGCTCACTTCTTGTAGGCGGGTAGACATGAAGAGCCTGCACTCTCAAATCTTAATGGACTTATGAAAAAGTGTGTTGTAAGGAGACCTGCTTCCTCAGGCTTATTAGATTAGCCCAATCCATCAGTTCCAATGCCACCTGCGTCACAAACTCAGTGCTGAGGCACCCAGGAGGTCCAGGAATCATGATGGCTGTCCACTGGGCACAGCAAAGAATACGGCAGGTTAGGAGCCTGTCCTCAACCCTGAACCCAAGGTGCTCTGACAAAGCCATACTTGGTCATACCTCAGGCCACACCAGCTGTGACTACCATGAAATGCACAACCCAGCACAGTCACCTCATTGGGCCTACTCTGTGTGGCAGACTGAGCACAAGTTCCCTATCCTTAGTACCCCACTCTGTCGCCTGCTCAACTCCCTAGACAGATGAGGTGTGTGTCCAAGCTGCCAGTGCCTACCTAGGTCATCGCAACATGCATGGCTGATTCTGTCATGTAAACCCCAGGCCAGCTGTGAGCTGCTGGGTAGGAGTGCTTCCTCAGATACCATGATGTTGTGCCATGTCCTCATACAGGCTCTCCACAGAACAGGTGTCATGTTATAGATGACAGTGGGAAGACGGGGATGGGTGGATGTCAACAGCAGACATGCCTCCTAGGAGCTCAGAAGAACATTGGAAACAACTTAAACCAACTTCATGGGCTAATGCTGACAGGCTGAACCCACTGTGAAGTGACTTCTGAGAGTCTTCCACCTCCTACATCCCAGCCCAACCTCTGTCAAAATCATTTCCTTCAAGAACTGCTATCTGGGGCAGAGCTCTGTGAATCACACGAATGATGTAGCATAAGCAATGGTGACTCCACAGTTCCCAGGACCAGGAATCTGCCATTCAGTTTTCAGGGCTTTTCATAGCTACGGTGGAGGTGTCAGCAAGGGCTGCGAGTCTCTCAAAGATGGCTCTGTCTTGTAGTCCACTCACATGGTTGGTGGTGGTCTAGGGTTCCAGGTGGCTAGGGACACAATTCTTCACCCTGTGGAAGGCTCTGAGGAGTAATGTATCATAAGTCAGTGTCAATGCAAAGAGGGAAGTCTCGACTACCAAGTGTGTTCTCTACCTAGTCCTCAAGCCTACTCCACACCAAAGAAAGGACCATTCTAGAAGCTTCCTGCACACCTAGACTCATTCCAACCCCTGAGCACAGCCTTTGTACAAAGAGGCTGGCACACAGAAGCACATTGATATGAACAAGGTTCTGACTCTGGGTGGCACCAGCTCTATATATCCCACCATTGCTGACTACCACCACACGATGAATGTCCAAATGTGAGTGACCCCATCCCTTAAAGCCTTTCTAGCAATTCTGTCTAGGTACTGACCTCACCCCCTCCCTAGAATGCTTGCTTCATCAGCTCCATCCTCACCAGGCTCCTGCAACACGAAATGTTCTTCACAGATATCCTATAGTAACTTAACCACACAGTTCACGGTTGGCCACTTCCCATGAGACCTGCCTGGCTCTGGAGGTCTTCTACAGCATTGTTCCTAACACCTGAGACAAAGGCCACTGTGACAAGAGCATCTGGTTTGTGGCCAGGCTCTTACACTGGCACATGAGCCCTATCTACAGTACTCCCCAGGACCGGAGACTCAGGAAGGGACTGACTAATATGTGTCAACTGGGTGGCTCACGGATCCCCAAGACTCTTTCCTAAGAGTACCTGTAGGACATGGGCTAAGTGCACGGAGGCCCTGACTCCAGCTGCCTTCCAATCCACCTCTCCCTGGAATGGCGAAAGTGGCAGTGAGGACAATAAGATGGGGATACTTCCCCTAAGATGTGAGAAAGGAGCAGGTGTGAGAAGACACAGTAGGAGCAGCAGAACAGGACAGTCTTCATCAAATGGCCATCTGAGCGCACTGCCTTTTGTGCAGGCAGAAAGCTGTGTCCCCCACATGGAAGAGCAGTCTGCGGAGCACGGAAGAGTAAAATGAGGACAAGATGGGCTGGCTAGACTGGCTGGGCTGGTGAGGACAATGGCCTGGGGTTGGGTTAACTGAACTCCACAGTTGCAGCCCAGCACCCAAGGGACAAATTCCAGAGTTGCTCTTATGTGAAGGGCTTAATCTGAGGGAGTGGTGCTTCTGGCAAACCTGGATCCATGCTCTATGGAGCACCTCAAAAGAGGCTTCCATAGGCTGACAATCTCCTGGTACCAGCTGCTATGATAGACCGCAGGAAACCCTGAGAGGACACATGTCTACATGCCCATGCTTGTGCCATCCTAAGACAGTTCATCCATTTCCTGGCCACAGTCTCATCCAGGGCCGGAGGCAGGGTTCTTATCAACAGCATTTTCCATGACCTGCGTCTCCAGAGGATCTTAAGCTATACTGTAAGGATGATCCAGCCAATAAATGCCCAGATACAGAGAATGACTGCTCAACTTTCGTCTGAGGATGACTGTGTAATTCCAGTGCCAGAAAAGGCAATACAATCCCATGGCTACTCAGGCCTGGAAAATGGGAACATCCTGATTTTTAAGATGGGGAAAAGGCTTATGACCAGGGTCAGGTCAGTTCAAGAATGAGCTCATGGTACAAATGAGTTAATTTGTGGCAAAATTAAATTGCAGGAAAATTAATGCAATGAATAGGTCATGAGTATACTCAAAGTCTGAATGACACCTGAGCACTTCAGGGAAACAGTGCAGGACACTGGCGAGCTGATCTGTCTTCTGTCTGCTGAGGTGTGATTGACTCAATTCCTGCCTTACTCATAATGGGACAGAATTACAAGGAACTCTGAGCTTAATGAGCAGGGCCTGGGTCATGAATGGCCTAAGCAATCACGGGAATGAGAGCATTTGCAATTTACAGGATATTAGGTTTTGTTTCCTGTCAGCCAGCAGAGAGCCAATCGATGCACTCGACTGACAGCTACTTTAGCCAAGCAGCTCCAGGTAACGCTATTTCCCGGTTAATATTACTGAATGAGAATTCTACAGTTGCCAAGTCCTGGATAGAAGACCTACGAATCAAGAGCATGCTCTGCCATCAAAAGCAGCCAACGACACAGCCCACGGAACATTATCACACATGCCTCCGTGACGGCACCCCAGAACACAGGCGGCAGAGCACACAGTAGGGCGATTCTGATACCGTATGCATATTAGCACTTGTCTCACTGCTCAGTGAAACACCCGACAAAAGCAGCTTGAGGAAGGAAGGCTTTGCTCTGGCTCTACTGTAAGGAAGAAAACTAACCTGGTGCTTCTTTCCTTGCCCTCTGGGGAGATCCGATGCCTCACCCGGGCCATGGTGCCTACGGCTGCTGCTGAAAGGCAGTACCCACCCCCCACAGCACAGGTCAGCTTCAGCAGGCCTCATACACAGAATGAAAAGAGGCTAGAATAAGCAGTAGACACTCAGGGGAGCCAAGGCGGCTTCTTCCGGAAAACTCAATCTCCTGAAGACATGAATTTCATCAAAATTGGTGAAGAGTGGAAAATTTCATATTGGGCTGCATCTGTCTGAGGATTTCTTTAAATCTTTATTGTAAGTAACTCAAAACACAGACAACGTGTGAGTCCCTTCCGAGTGCGAAGTTTCTGGAAGAGTTGCTCGGATGTACACAGAAGGTACATGATTACTCGGCCACACTTACAGTTTGACTCTGCTTAAAATGTAAATTGCCAGTGAGAATGGGGAGACTGTGGCCAACCAGCTGGTGTGCAATCAGGTGACAAGGAGAACGTTATAAAGTCCTCTTCCTGTTCTACATAGTCAGGTGACAGGAACACCAGGGCTAGACATTTTAAAGATCTTGTTGCATGGAGAGGATACTCTGCAGGGAATCCAGTACAGGAGGAGGCAGGGCGGGGACAGGGCCATGGGGTGGGGGCTCACCTGGTAGGTGTCCCACAGGCGGATGGTGCAGCGCAGGGGCAGTTCCCTCATCAGCAGGTTGTTCATCCAGCGGAACGCAAACTGCAGGTATCGCACTTCGTGCCCGTCCAGATGGCGGTGAACTCGCTCTGCACAACACAAGCACAGGCTGTCAGGGAGCCTCAGGGCAAAAGAACCAGTTCCACCAACGAAGGACTCCACTCTTCAAGAAGAAAACAAATAAGGGGCTGGAGAGATAACTCAGATGTTAAGAGCACTCACTGCTCTTACAGAGGATCTGGGTTCAACGACCAGCACCCAGACGGCAGTTCACAACCATTCCAGTTCCGGTTCCACAACCCCATATCCTTTTCTGACCTATGGGGCACCAGGCACACACATGCTGCACACTCATACAAAGTACCCACACACATAAAAATGAGTAATTTTTAAAAAAGAGGATAACGAGGGTGACAATGATGGTAATGATGATGACGATTCCAAGAGTAACAGCTGTGTCAGGTGCATGTGCACATTTGGGAGTCTTTACACCCCAATACCCAAGAAGAGAAGACAACCCATATGCATGGGGAGCACAAATTAAGAAGCACATGGCTCCAGAGGTGAGTGCCAGTCTCTAGAGTGAAGGGGTTAAAACAGATGAGGAACTGGGCCATCAAGCTCCTAGAGACCCCATCCTCACCCAGGTATCATCCCACCTGCACCCAGACCTAGCAGACCTGTCCCTGTGCAGACCAGGTAGCCGCTAGGTGCAGGCTGAAGTACTAAAAACAACTAGGCTTCCCAAAGAGCCAGGCTCCACCAAACTGTCCCCAAAGCAAGGACCCTGTCTTAGTATGAGTCACTACTGTTGAGATGGGACATCATGAACAACAGCAACGCGAGGAGAGAAGGGTTTATTTCACTCCCAGTTCATCATCGAAGGCAGGAGCTGATGCAGAGACCATAGAGGGGTCCTGCTTACTGGCTTGCTCCCCACGGCTTGCTCAGCCTGCTTTCTTACACAACCCAGGACCACCAGCTCAGGGATAACACCACCCACAATAGGCTGGGCCCTCCCCCATCAATCACTAACTAAGAAAATGCCTTAGAGCCAGATCTTATGGAGGCAGTTTCTCAATTGAGGTTCTCTCTTTTTAGAAAACTCTAGTTTGTATCAAGTTGATATAAAACTAGTCGCCACAAACCCCTACCAGCTAGCTACTGGCTATGCCTCAGAAGAAAGACTTTCCCAAACACTGAAGGAGAAACCCTGTCCTGCATCTTCCCTGCATCTCACAAATGACCCTTGCATGTCAGGGTAAGAATGGACACACTTAGCCAGGCTGCCATGACTGGGAGGCAGTCAGGCCCACAAGGGGTTATGATATGAGCTGGCCCTAGAAAAGCAAGGCCTCAGCGCTAAGGCAGTTCCTGCACTCTCTGCTCACTGCTGTCCTCAGCTGACCAGAACACAAGCTGGGACATGATTCTCATGGGGCTGGGTCACAGTTTGGTGGTGCTTTGAACTCTCAGGGTCCATGTGCTGGAGGCTGGGTCCTTGTACGTAGTGGAAGAGGCAGTGAAACCTTTAAGAACTATGGCCTTGGAGGAGTCCTTATGTTAAGGAACTGCTCTCAGAAAAGACTAATGTAGTTCTCATGGCATCCTGGTTGTTCTCACAAGAGGGTTGTTACAAAAGAAAAGCCTGGTCGCTTTCTGTCCTCTTTGGCTCCTGTTCTGCAGAGTGAGCTGTCTGCCTCACAATTTATCACCACTGTGATGCCACCTGTCCTCATCAGAGGTGAACTGATGCCAGTGACCTGTGCCTGAGTTTCTGGAGCTGAGCTAAATTAACCTTTTTCTTATAAATAAGCAGGTTCCAGTATTTCATTATAGTATCACCAAACAGACTAATATAGGTTGGTCTGGTGGAGAAAGCTTAGGGATAAAGCCACCGTTAATACCGGGAAGTAGAAGGCAATCCAAGCTGAGTGGAAACAAGGTGGCACGTAACTAGAGTGGAGCTGATGAAAATGGCATGTTCCCTCCGGTCTTCACGGAGGCTGGAGCAAGCACGCACTAAGAAAGCAACTGCCCTACGACCTTAAGGAGAGAGTTCAGGAAGAGGAATGATGGCTCTGAGACCCCCCAGAAAAGGACACAGGGTAGGGTGATGGCCCTATGACCCCAGGAAAGGGCTCTTGGACTAAAAAGCAGAAAGACCTTGAGGTCCCTGTATATCTGCTACATGCTGCTTCTGCAGGAAAAGATCTAAGAACCCGGGTCCCACATACAGCAGAGAAAGACTCTACCATATTGCTGGGCAGTGGGGCTGCCTGAGTCGTAGCCCTGCCAGTTGGTGACAGTCACTACGGATGCTCAGCTTGCACACAGGAGTTTGTCTGGATTCTGTTTACTAAAGATATCTGGCACAGGCCTGTGCTAACAGGACTACTAGACTTCCAAATTCTAAATAGGTAAAAAATGACTTCAAGCCTGAAATTAGCTGTAGTTACTAAACTGACAGAAAGATCCAAGGGCCCAAGTGACTCTTCATGCCAGCAGCCTGTGCAGTTCTCCAAGGACACATCCTGCTGGGACAGCAGCAGCCTCGGCTGTGGCCCAGCGCACTGAAGCAGGGCACTGCAGTTGATGTGAAATTCAAATCTGATGAACACTTGCAAACCAGCAGTTTAGAAAATGACTGGATTTACTCAACAAGGTTCTTTCCACACAGGAGCACTAGGAACGAGCTTCCGTGGATATGCGGGTGGCTGCTTGGGGAGGCCCAGGGATGGAGGCAGCACTGGGGAGGAAAGAACAGGCAATGAGGGCAGGTGCCCTAGTTCCACTGCCCCCTTCCAGTCACAGTGATCCAATATTTTCAGGCTACAGCGGTCTCACCTCTACCTTCACTAGTTAGCAGCTCTTCGGCTGTACTGGAGACAACAGCGTGGAGGTCAGCAGCCACTCCATCATCCTCAGATGACTCGCTGGGTGCCCACAAGCACTGTCAGGCCTTCATGGCTAGACCCAGCTTTCCTAAGGGCACAGAGGGTCTCTTTGGAGACTCTCTGTGTTAAAGGAACAGCTGATGCTAGAGCTCAGAAAGGGGAAAGGGGAAAAACCAAGCACAGCCCGCTATGCTGGCCACATTCTGCCTTTAGTATCAGCAGCCCACCCACAGGGAAGCTCAGACTCTTAGGACCTGGAAAACAAACAGTTCTAACATGCAACCCAGAAGTAGGCAGCACCTTTCTAAGACAAACTGGGCAGAAATGGCGCTGAAAAATTAAACACATATTTTTGGACTATCTCTCATTGGAGTAACCTAGCAGAAAAGTGGAAAATTCAACCCTTCTTGCTTTATTCAAGGAACCAGCAAGCTGCAGCCTACCCCCAGGTAGGCTGACTTGGTAACGGGCAGGTTCTACCAGGAGTACATGATAGGACCCAGGTGTGGTCGCCTCCCTTTGCAGAGCACCAGCCCTGCAGAATGACAACACTAACAGCGATAACCACATAGGACTCAGGTCAACCCTACGGGGGGGGAGGGGGGGCTGTGCATCAGTCCACAGCGAGAATACAAAAGGGGCCTTCCACACAGGGCTGCCTTCAAAACCCAGCCACTGGAGGGTAGGCTGCTCCTCTCCTCCAAGAGCCAAGCAGAACAAGTCTGGAGCCTCTCAGCTGCCCATGTCACCAGGCTTCTGAGCACTTGGCCTTCACTTTTTCTCAGCAGGGGACCTTAAACTCCTGAGTTTGCTAAAAGGCACACACCACAACATGAGACCATGAGGACCTCTGTGAGGGTCTATGGCCAGTGTTCTGCTGGGTGTCCTAAAGACCGCCATGCAGAACCACTGACTCCGGCAGATGGAATGTCCACCCTGGAGCTACCTGGGCAGTGTCTTTGTTCACAGGGAAGTGGCCATTTTTCACTGACTGCATGCTACTCGGGGAATGAATGATAAAGAGAACCAGCCACCAGCTCTTCAGTCAGCTCCTAATGTGTGCAATGAGTCTCAGGGAGGGACTCCTATTTTGAACGTGATGTAAAATGGACCACTAAACTCCAGGCATGACTTCCGACTTCCATACATTAGAGCTGCCAGTGTGTGCTGAAATGACTCATTTCTCCTGTTTCATAAGCGGCCATGAGCACACGCTCTCTCACTGATACAGGAATCTCATCTGGTCAGCAATAATTCCAAAACCAGAATTTCCATTTCACTGGTAATCAGGGTTCAAGCACAATGAACAAGTGGGCAGATAGAATTACTACCATCTTTCAAGCCAACATGTCCTGTGTGGCAGGGCAAGATGCACTATTGTAAAGTCTATCAGAAGGGACAGTAGCCACAGCCTGCAGAGTGCGCTCCTCTGTGTTCAATAGTGGGCCCATGGGCTGAAATTCCACCAAAAACATCTAGTCTTCTGGACTGAAAATGCGGGCAAATTATGCAAGCACACTGCATCCTGGAGCTCCCACTACAAGTTAGCAGTATTGACATGGGACCAGGCAACGAAGATTTATTTGCGCAAAGAGCACACACAATGGCCCACTTTTAGATACCTGACAAAGAAATCTTTTAATCCCATGCTGAGCTGAGGGCAGACTGAACACCACCCACTTTTGTTGGGTCTGGCTTGAATGGGTTTTGATTAAAGGGAAAGATTCCAATCCTCTCATCAGTTAGGAGGATAAAAAAGAACAGAAGCAAGAGCAACCGAAAGTCTGCAATGGAGAAGCTGCTTCTCTACAGCACAAAAAGTCAGGTCCCAAATGGGTGCTGCACCCAGTACACCTGCTAGCCAGAGAACCTGGGAACCTGCTGTGACAGGATGGGGGGGCTGAACCAAGAGCCAGAGAGGAAGCCCAAAGCCACACTAGAGGTGATGACAGCAGCAACCCCCCCCCACACCCGTACCAGAATGACCAGAAAAGCTTCCTCTCAGCAATGCCAGTGAATCAACCTCCAGCAGAGTGTGCTCAGAAAAATGACAGGAGGGCTGGAAGTGGGAGAAGAGTCAACAAAGGTGGCCGATAGGATGTAAGGGCTCTGGCGGCACACAGGCCAGGGCTGGGCAAACCAGGGCTATGGAGACCAGGACACAAGAGATCAGGGCTGTGCGTACCAGGGCT